GAGGTGGTCATTATTTTTCCAATTTTAAACGCTGGGCAAATAAAAGTCAATGGGCTTTATAACTTACCTAGGGGTATAGAAACCTAAGAGGTTGACCCAGAATTCACATTCTAGTTTGTATTACTCTAAAGACCATGACAGCTACCTTAAAGGTAGAGTTGTATCAAGTTATAAATTTCAAGTTGTGTTGTTTCAAATAAAAAAATCAGTGGGGTGTAGCAAATTGACCTATGTGGTAGACAAAGTGTGGGATAATACAAAGAGGCCTCTGTCCAGGCAGATCCCATGCCATTAATGAAATAGGCAATAGGAAGAAATATACCAAGCAAACATCTCCCTGAGGCCAGTTTATTTTTCAGCTTTGTATCCCTAGTGCCTGGAACATTGTCTAAACCATAGTAGGCAGCTAATCAATGTATGTTGTGAGACTAAATGAATAAATGAAAGAACAAAAGACAAACAAGCAGGTTTGGTAAGAAAGAAAGGATTTGCTGTGTTTGATGTGCCTATGGGTCATCGAAGTAGAAAAAGTGAGAAAGGTCTCCAGAGGGAAGTGTTGGTGATTTTGCAGCCACCAATATAAAAATAACATTGCACATTCATGGATACAATCAGAGTAGTGAAAAGAGAATCACAGATCGATTCCTGGAATACCTCAGAGAAGTCAGTGTGAGAGACTGAGAGTGTATGATCAGAGGCAACAGTACCAAAGGAACGGAGTGCCAAAACCACGAACAAAGCTGAACTCACTGATCAATCTTCACAAGATGTAATAAAAAGAACAATACAAACTTGAATGTTTTCAAGCCTCTTATTTAGACCTTACTATCATTAGAGGCAAAGGAGAGGAGCTGGATGCACAGCAGTGGTTCTCAAATTTGCTGCACAGTGCAAACTAGTACTGGCCCTGGCTGGTGTGGCTTGGATGGTTGGAGCTTCATCCTATACACCAAAAACGTGCAAGTTCGATTCCTAATCAGGGCACATACCTACATGACAGGGTGCATACAGGAGGCAACCAACCAAATAATGTTTCCCTCTTACCCCCCCGCCACCCTCCACTCCCTTCTTCCCACCCTCCCCCAAAAATCAATGAAAACATATCCTCAGGGGAAGATTAAAATATGTAACTAAAATTATAACATAAAAATAAAAACTACTACTATTTGGGTTCTGTTCTCAGATATTCTAATTTAATCAGTATGAATAAAGCCTGGGTATTTGGAGTCTTAAAAGCTTCCTAGTTGATTCTAACATACAGCAAAGTTGAGAACCACAGAAACAGAAGTTAAATGATACCACAAGAAGTACAGTCATCCAAATCCAGAATGTAATATGCTATAGAGTCAAATTAACCATTTTTGTTTCGTGTATAAGTGGTAAAAATATTGAGAAGAACCAGAGCTCCTTGAAGTGATCAATTCCAGAACTGGGGCAAAGAAATTACAAGATGAGTCTGGAACATCTTTGGTATGCCAAAAAGTAAAGTAGTGCTCAGAAATGTATGGAGACATAGCAAAAGGGCACAGTAGCCAACCTGAAAGAATGTCTAAATGGCCAAAGGTAGAATAGTTGGGCAACATAAATTACTATAGCACTGAATTATAACCATTAAAGTACCCAAGAGCCCACATGGATACAAGTAAATAATTAAATAAATGGAGGAAAGGGGACTGCTATTCCATAAAAAAGAGTAACTGCAATGTGAAAAGAAATAATCACACCATTGAAACACAAAGAGTGTTTAGATGAAGTAACTGCTAAAAGTAATATCCACAAGTGAATACTTAAATCAGTGAGCAAAATCTGAAGAGAAACAGTTAGTGCCTAATCTCAAAGTATCTCCCCCAAGATATTTTTTAATAACAATGGGAAAAACAGCAACTTTACAGTGCAACAATCTGGAAAAGAATACCTTATCCTAGTGATCAAGGTTAGAATTACCAAAAATAAGATATATCAGTATTATGCAGCCCCTGAGAAAGGAATATAACTTGGGGTATTCTTGCCAAAAATGACTAATCTCAATCTAATCATGACAAAACATCACTGACAAACCCAAATTGAAGGACATCCTACAAATACCTAACTAGTACTCTTCAGAAATATCAACAGTTATGAAAGACAAGAAAAAACTAAGAAACTGTCACAGACTAAACGAGACTAAAATGACACAATTAAATGTGATTTGAGATCTTGGAACAGAAATTCAATAGCAGAAAACTGGTAAAATCTGAATAAATTCTGTAATTTAGTTAACAGTATTGTACCCAAGTTAATGTCTTGGTTTTGATCATTACAGTATGGTAATGCAAGATGTTATTATTTTTCTTTATTGATTTGAGAGAAAAAGGAAGGGAGAGGGAGAGACAGACAAACACAGATGAGAGAGAACATCAACTGGCCGCCTCCCACATGCTCCCCACTGGGGATTGGGCCCACAATCTGGGTATGTGCCCTGACTGGGAATCGAAACAGTGACCTCTTTGTGCATGGGTCGATGCTCAACCACTGAGCCACACCGGCCAGTCAAGATACTAGCTAATAGCCCTGGCCAGTTTGGCTCAGCGGTTAGAGCATCCGCCTGCGGTCCGGAGAGACCCAGGTTCGGTTCCCGCTAAGGGCATGTACCTTGGTTGCAGTTTGTCCCCAGCCCTGGTTGGTCGTGCGGGTGGCAGCCACTTGATGTGTCCCTTTCACATCGATGTTTCCCTCTCTCTCTCTTCCTCTCTCTCCCTCCCACTCTGATGGAAAAATGTCCTCGGGTGAGGATAAAAAAAAAAAAAAAAAGATACTAGCTAATATTAAGGGAAGCTGGGTGAAGAGTGTATCAGCTCAGCAATGTTTACAACTTTTCTATAAATCTATAATTATAATTTCAAAGCAAAAATAATCTTAGGAGTCCAAAGTAATACATGGGGTAGAAATTGTTTTATATTAAGAAATTATTAATGTTTAGTGTGATTGTGTTAAAAATTAATCAGAGATGCATTCTGAGGTATTTCTAGTAAACTTTATGATGCCTGTGATTTGCTTTAAAATACTTCAGGAAAGCCTGGCTGGTGTGGCTCAATAGTTGAGCATCAAGCTATGCACCAAGAGGTCACTGGTTCAATTCCCAGTCAGGGCACACGCCCAGGTTGTAGGCCAAATCCCCAGTAGGGGGCATGCAGGAGGCAGCCAATTGATGTTCTCTCTCTCTCCCTCTCCCTTCCTCAATAAATCAATAAAGAAATAAAAATTTTTCAAGAAAGCCCTGGCCAGTTGCTCAGTGGTTAGAGCATCCACCTGAGGACAAGAGAGTCACAGGTTTGATTCCCAGTCAAGGGCACGTACCTCGGTTGCAGGCTTGATTCCCAGCCCTTGTTGGGGTCCTGTGGAAAGTAACTAATTGATATGTCTCTCCCAAATTGGATGTTTCTCTCTTTCTCTCTCTCCTTCCCTCCCTCCCACACTACTAAAAATCAATGGAAAAATATCCTCAGCTTAGGATTTAAAAAAAAATTTTTTTGCAGAAAAAAATGTGGGAGCTCACATACAGACTACCAAAACATTGATAATTATTGAAGCATGGTAATAGGTACCAAAATTTTACTTCCACTTAGGAAGGAAGAAGGAGATGTTTTACTATTTGATTAGACAACTCTGAAAAGGTTGGGGTTTATATGTACATGTGTATGTGTTTTATTTTGTTTTCTTTGGAGGGAGAATTGTAAATAGCCTACTTTTATCATTAATTTTAAGAATGTACTTTTGGTCCTGGTCCATTTGGCTGAGCCATAGAGCGTCAGCCTATGGACCAATGAGTCCTGGACTCAATTCCAGCCAAGGGCATGTACCTAGGTTGTACTTCGTCCTCAGCCCTGGTCTGGGTCATGTGGCTGGTTTAGCTGTTTTACAGAGCATCGGCCCAAGGACAGAAAGGTCACAGGTTCGATTCCTAGTAAAGGGCACATACCTGGGTTGCGGTTTGATCCCTGGTCCAGGTCAGGGTCATGTAGGAGACAACCAATCGATGTGTTTCTCTCATATCAGCATTTCTCTCCTCCTACCCCTCCCAAAGATTAATGGGAAAAGATCCTCGGGTAAGGATTAATAAAAAAAATTAAAATGCCTCAGTTTAGATGATAAAGTACATGATCATCCTATCTTTGGGCTATCACAAATTACTTTTATGTGCTATATTTGGAATAAATTTTTCATTAAAAAAACTGCCAGCCCTGGCCAGTTTTGCTCAGTGGTTAGAATGTGAGCCTGAGGACCGAAGGGTCTTATGTTCAATTCCTAGTAAGGGGCATGAACCTGGGCTGCAAGGTCTATCACCAGACCTGGTAGGATCATGCGGGAGGCAACCAATTGATGTGTCTCTTGTACATCAATGTTTCTCTCTGTTTCTCTTCCCCAGCCTTCCAGTCTATCTAAAATCAATGGAAAAATATCCTCTGGTGAAGATTACCCCCCGACAAAAAAAATTATTGCCAAATGTGATAAAAAGTAATTCAAAAGTTTAAATTTTTTTCTAATACAGAGAGTATTTATTAAATACTCGGGTAACCTTAAAGTACTCCAACTGTTATGGAGTAAACGGTATCATCCCAAAATTCATACTGAGGCCCTAACCCTTAATGTGACATATGTGGAGAAAGAGACTTTAAAAAGGTAATTAAGGTTAAATAAAGTAATATATAGTTGGGGTCTTAATCCAACATGACTGGTGTCCACAAAAAAGGGAGAGACACCAGGGATGCACAGGTGCACAGAGGAAAAGCCACGTGAGTATACATAGATAGAAAGTGGCCATCCACAAGCCAAGAAGAGAAGCCTCAGGAGAAAGCAAATCTGTCAACACCTTAGTATTAAACTTCAAGCCTCCTAAAATGCGAGAAAATAAATTTCTGCTGTTTAAGCCACCAGTATGTGGTACTTTGTTACGGCAGCCTTAGCCAACTAATACACCAATATTCATGGGGAAATATATTCCAAACATTCCTCTTACTTACCTGGATATGCATATCTCTCTAACTTGTTGAGGTGTCAGAGCAAAAATAAAAAACTTCTCTTGAAATCGCTGAATACTGCTTTGAACTAGGGAGGGGAAAAAAAGATATTAAAATAACAAATCCAAGGATATTATAATCTGTAAAAAGAATAACAACAACAACAGGTAATTCTGATTGAGAGTCTGCCAAAATCTGCAATTTTTTTTTTTTTATATCCTCACCCGAGGACATTTTTGCATTTATCTTCAGATAGAGTGGGAGGGAGAGAAGAAGAAAGAGAGAGAGAAACATCAATGTGAGAGAGACACATCGACTGGCCACTACCCACACGACCCCAACAGGGGCCAGGGACAAACTGCAACCGAGGCAAGTGCCCTTAGTGGGAACCAAACCAGGGTCTCTTTGGTCAGTGGGCCGACACTTCAACTGCTGAGCCAAACCAGTCAGGGAACAAATTCTGAATTTTTTATGGTTAAAATACTTCAAAATAAGTAAGTACTATACTGCATTCATCTTGGAATCATGAAAGTAAAGTCACTCTAAAGCAGGTTCAGTTTTAAGCACTTTTTATTCTAACACCCTAATTATAGTTAAAATAGCCCAGCCGGTATGGCCCAGTGGATTGAGTGTCGTCCCAAGGACCGAGAGGTCCCAGTTCAATTCCCAGTCAGGGCATATGCCCAGGTTGTGGGCTTGATCCCCAGTAAGGGGCGTGGAGGAGGCAGATGATCAATGTTTCTCCCTCATCGATGTTTCCCTCTCTCTCCCCCTTCCTCTCTAATAAAATCAATAAAAAACATACTTAAAATTATATATAGTTAAAATATAACACAACCCTTCAATATTATATTCATCCTAGACTATATAATCATCTAATGAAAATCTGATCAAGTCAAAAACTACCCCCAGAAGAACTCTATACAAGATTCAGGTATCTTTTGGAGTTTTTATCTGTTTTGTTTTGTTTCTTTGTTGTGTTTTGTTTTTGATACTTTATGTTCAATTACACAGATCATTCATATAACAGAAAATTTAAAACTTCTAGATAGAATTATTAAGATACATAATAATTATTTGCATATAAAGGATTATCTAGTCCAGTAGGTGTGGCTCAGTGGATTGAGTATCATCCCATGGACTGAGAGGTCCAGGTTCAATTCCCAGTCAGAGCACATGCCCTGGTTGTGGGCTCAATCCCCAGTAGGAAGCATGCAGGAGGCAGCCGATAGATGTTTCTCTCTCTCTCTCCCCCTAACAAATCAATAAAATTAAAAAAAAAAAAAAAAAAAAAAAAAAGATTATCTGGTTAGCTAGGCCAGTGTGACTCACTGTATTGAGCATCATCCCATGTAGCAAGAGGCCGCCAGTCTGATTCCCAGCCAGGGCACATACCTGTGTTGTGAGCTCAATCCCCAGTAAGGGACATGTAGGAGGCAGTGGGTCAATGTTTCTCTTTCATAGATGTCTCTCTCTCTCTCTCAAATCAATGAAAACATATATTTTTTAAAAAAGTTATCTAGTTTAAAAGGATATATATTAAAACCATCCTTGATTATAGTATTAAAAATTATAATGTATTTACTTCAAAAAGAACTTATAACATTTATACTGATGTATTATTCAATGATGTTCATTAAAATAAAACAAAACAAAAGCTAATATAGAGCCCTGGCTGGTGTGGCTCAGTGGGTCAGCTCACACACCCAAGGGCTGTGGGTTTGATTCCTGGTCAAGGGCACGTACCTGGGTTGCAGGTTTGGTTTCCAGCCCCAGTCAGGGCTCATGTGAAGATAACCAATTGATGGGTCTCTCTCATGAATGTTTCTCTGTCTGTCCCTCTTTCTCTTCCCCCCCTCTCTCCCTCCCTCCCTTCCACTCTCTCTAAAAATCAATGAAAAAAATATCCTCGGGTGAGGATCCAAAAAAAACCTAATATAGAGACCACAAGTCTTCTGCTTCCCATCAAATACTGCAACAACATGCAAAATAAGGCAAAATGGGTTTTGTGTGTTACTGGCCAGTTTTCCTGTTGCATGAAGATAAATAAACAAGATGCCAGCTGAATATCCAATGTCAGAGCCTTCAATCCACAAGTCACACCAAATCGAGAAAAATATTAACTCTTTAGGTAAAACAATATTTTCCTTAAGCATAAGTTGTTCATTGTAGCAATTATGCTCCTAGAAATCATGTCATAAAGTGCCTCATATCTTCCCAGAACATTTATAGATGGAGGGGAGGGAGGCTGTTTACAATGAAGGCCTAAAAAGAAAACAAAACTATAAATCATAAATGTAACTGTGGGGCATAAAACACAAACACAGAACTGCAGCAGTAAGTCTCTCCACTTCTTCAATTCCTGTTCACTCCTCAACTCTTTCTTGTGCAGATTCCACTTTCCACTCTCTATCCATGGACAGGTCACCAATAGCCTCTTAACTGTCAAATTTAAAAACCAGCATCTGGAGTTTAGAGATAAACATACTATATTTTCAATCTTAGTTAATGATATGAGCACTAAGTCTCTCCAGCCAGAAACCTCAGATGGTCTAACACAGGTACAAATGGAATCCCAGAAGAAGAGAAAACAGGGCATAAAAAAATAAGTAAAAATTTAAAAAACTTGCAGAAATAATAGAAGAATATCTCCTAACTTTGATGGAGGGGGTACAACTCTTACATATCAAACCTCAAGCAAAGTAAATACAAAGAAAACTACCTAGCCACATCAAATTCAAACTACTGAAAACCAATGATGACTATAAAATCTTGAAAGCAGCCAGAGAAAAGACCAACCATACGTACAAGAAAATGATACAAATAAAGGCTAACTTCTCATCAGAAACAAAGACATCATATTCAAAGTCAGACATCATATTCAACTGAAAATTCAATACCTTCAAAAACAGGATGAAATAATGACATTTAGATAAACACAAGCCAAGAAAATTTGTTGGAAGCAGACATATACTACAAGTAATGTAAAAATAAATTATCAGAATTTTTTAAAAAATGATACCAAATTCAAAACCACATTTTTAGGAACAAACAGTTCATAAGTGGTAAAGGTAAAATAATATGCTCTTATGATTTCCTTAAAAAGATAACTTTAAAGCAAAAGTAATGGCATTGAAAGGCAGGAACAGAAAGGATAAAGGTATGAAATTACCTACCCAACATCTGTAATTCTTGCTTCATTCTGATAAGCCTGATTAACCTAAATCTTCAGAGACAGATCCACTTAGTGCACCCAAAATGCAAAGCTGGGTGCAAGACCTTCAGAGAATTCACCAATGACAGTATCTGAAGTCCTGTCTATATGACTATAGTCAACCTACCCAGAAAAGTACTCATAAACCATGGACCTTACATTGAAACTAAAATTCTTCTATAGTCAGTATATGCCAACATTTATGTATAATTTATAAAACTTGTAGCTTAATATTAATAGTTTATATCATAATAGACATACTTTTCTGTACCTTTTGTCTGAAATAGTTTTTGATCAATTATTTGTTGCCAAATTTCCAGCCCAAAATATAATCCCTGTTCCAATGGAAAAATGGATGTCCCATCATTATGTATCATAATCGGATTCCAAGAACTTGAAATAAAAATTAGTGCATATGGCCCAATTGGTGTGGTTCAGTGGATTGAGCGTCATCCCATAGACTGAGAGGTCCCAGTTTGATTCCCATTCAGGGATCACATGTCTGATTGCAGGCTTGATCCCTGGTAGGAGTGCAGGAGGCAGCCAAGTGATGTTTCTCTCTCACATCAATATTTCTGTCTCTCTCTCCCTTCCTCTCTCTCTCTTAAAAAAAAAAAAAAAAAAAAATTCTATAAAAACATAGTTTTAAAGAAATGAGTGCACATGCTTAAAATCTAATTTGTGTGACTACTTAACAAAATTTTGGGGTAGGACAATTTAATGAGGAAGCAATAGCCACAAGCACACAAAATTGCTAAAGGTAAGCCTATTAGCTAGACTGTCATTTTAATACAGATCACAAAAAAGAATGACAGGATGTAAAGTAGAGGCATGTAGATTTTGTGGTTTTTCTCCCATTAGTTTTTCCAACACGGGATTAGAAAACCACTTCTTCAATTCTTCATAGATCCCATGAATGATTTTATGTTTTTGTTTTTTTGTTTTTCTTTTATCCTCACCCGAGGATACTTTTCCACATTTTGTTCAGATAGAGTGGGAGGGAGAGAGAGAGAGAGAAACATCGACGTGAAAGGGACACAGTAAGTGGTTGCCACCCGCACGGCCCAACCAGGGCCGGGGACAAACTGCAACCAAGGTATGTGCCCTTAGCGGGAACCGAACCCGGGTCTCTCTGGGCAGCAGGCCGATGCTCTAACCGCTGAGCCAAACCGGCCAGGGCTGAATGCTTTTATGTTGACAGCAACAAACAAAATGGAAAAAAACCATGACTCAGAGACATGAATCAGATATGAATTTGTTCAAAGCTTTTTTCCTTTTTTTTTTAACAACCCTTCATAATGTAGATCCTATTTTTCAAACATGGCTACAACAATATCTCCCATCATGCCCGTCCAATAATGTAACCTTGATACTCTTCCAATTAAGTACTGAAATCTGTATCACCTGAATAGCAGTTTTTGACTGTTTCAACCAATAATGTACGGTATAAATGATGCTATACAACTTGCAAGGCTAGATCATAAAAGTGCCATGCACTTCTCCTTTGCTCTCTTTACTCTTGAAACCCAGCTCTCATGCTATAAAGAAGTCCAAACTAGACCACATGAAAAAGCTACATGTAGGTATTCCAGACAACAGCCATGCTGAGTGTAAGCCAAGAGGTAGCATAGGCACCAGAAATATTGAGTGAAGATGCCTCTAGATCAGCGGTTCTCAACTTATGGGTCGTGACCCCTTTGAGGGTAGAACGACCCTTTCACAGGGGTCACCTAAGACATAACAATAGCAAAATTAGTTATGAAGTAGCAACAAAAATAATTTTATTGTTGGGGGTCACCACAACATGAGGAATTGTATTAAAGAGTCGCGGCATTAGAAAGGTTGAGAACCACTGCTCTAGATGATCCCACCTTCTAGTCACCCCAGCCTTTAAGTCTTCTCAGTTAAGATCCCAGACATCTTAGGATAGAGACAAGCCAAAAAAGATGACAGAATATATGCAGAGAAACAGTTAACTATTGATATGACTCTAGTTTTTAATACATGAGATTATGAGGGGCTTAACTGTTATATTTCTATGTTTTAATGTTCAATTGCTAGCATAAATTACTTTTGTAATACGAAAAGTACAATGAAGAAATTTTAAGGAATCAAAGACTCAAGATACTTCTAAGGTATTTTACAAAATACCAAACAACTAGAGGTAGCAATATACAGACACTTATAAAGAAAAGTGAATAAAAAAAGCTAGTCACAGGAGAATATCTTATAGTATACCATTATATAAATTTCAAAAGCAAGGCAATTAAACATTACTTTTTAATATATACATATATGGTAAAACAAGCAAAGGAAAGGAACACAAAAATCAGGATAGTGACTTAACTCAGAAAAGAATATGGTTTAAAAAATAATGACATTACTCCTTTTTTTAAAAAAAATATGGGTAGTGGGCCCTAGTCCGGTGGCTCAGTTGGTTAGAGCATTGTCCAGTACACCAAAAAGGTTGTGGGTTCAATCTCCGGTTGAGATACATACAGGAGGGAACGGATCAATGTTTCTCTCATTGTTTCTCTTGGTCCCTCTCTCTCAGTCTCTGTACCCCCGCCCCCTTCTCTCTCTAAAATCAGTCAACATATCCTCGGGTGAGGATTTTTAAAACATGGGTCATGGTTTCACAGGTGTTCATTTCATTGATATTCCTTACAACTTAATGTTCTCTCTATATTATTTTATATAGATTGAATGTAGACAAATCTTTTAAATTTAAGTAAAATTCCCAAAGGATTTCACCTTCAAAAGAAATTATCTTAAAGAAAAAGTTTCATCTCACTTATTTCTAGAATATAATGAACTAAACAAAATAGACCCAGAGACATAAAAGTAAGGTACATACAGACTGACATTTCTCAGAAGGGGGGTGGGGGGTGGAGAGCAAAGGGATAAACCACAGAACTTATATGCACATATGCATAACCAATGGACATGGACAACAAAACTGGGGACAGGGTGGGAGGGGATAGGGAGGAGAGAGTCAATGGGCGGGGGGGGACATCTGTAACAAAAAAAAAATTAATTAAAAAAATAAATAAAATAAATATAGCTTAAAAGTTAAAAAGGAAGGAAGGAAGGAAGGAAGGAAGGAAGGAAGGAAGGAAGGAAGGAAGGAAGGAAGGAAGGAAGGAAGGAAGGAAGGAAGGAGCTGAATTTTCTACCTTGGGAAAAAAAAAAAAGAAAAAGTTGAAAAGGAGAAAGACTGCCTGTGAGAGCAAATCAGAATAGCTACTTAAGAACGAGAAGAGAGATTTTTGGTTAGTTTGTTTTCAGATTAGGGAATTGTCCATTTGTTACAGTATAATTGTAGGTACAGAGAACCTCATTTTGTATTGTGTACACTCAGGTTTTCTAGATGCCAGTCTGTCATTTAAAATGCTAAAATATTTTTATTTTAATCATGTTGAGTAAAAATAATTCCAAACAGCAAACTATATAATAATGTATCTTCTTAAATAGAATATATTCATCATGATTGAGGTTTTTGTTGTTTTCTTTTTTAGCATCAATACATGTGCCATGCTGCAACAGTAATTCTTTCAATACTAAAGAGCTTTTGGTTCCAATATCCCAAGAGATTCTGCAATAACATTTTAAATCTCTTTTATCTGTTTTTTCTACAATATTGTTAATTCCTATTCAAGAATATGTTGACGGCTTAGAAATCCTCTAATCAATTTTATAAAATATCAAAAACACACAAACTGGCTTGCAATGGTCAAAAATATATGCTTTGAAATTTGGATTTTGTATTTCTTTCGACTACAGAAGATTTTTAATTCTCAGTTCCCAACAAGTTTCTCCATAGCAGTGTCCAAATAAATTTTCCCACAATTTTTATATTTATAAGTATTTCCAACATCACAAAACCACGTCATATTACATTGCCTTAATTAGACATGTGAAACAAAAAAATTTTAACTAAAGGTAATTACTAGTAAAGGTCATTACTGGAAAGCATTAAATTTTTTTCCACTTTTATTTGGAAGACTATATGGTACTAGACTGATTTTTTAACTTTCTACCTCAAAGTCTAAAAGAGCATTTCTTAGATCACTGTTTCATCAATCAGATATAATAAGACTAAATACATTAAGAAAATTCTTTTTTCTCTTTAGGGAAGAAGGCAAATAACGAAATATTTAAGCCTTATTTTAAAACAAGAATCAGTTTATAACACTTATAAAAAAAATGATAGGCAGCCCTGGCCGATTTGGCTCAACAGTTGGAGCATTGGCCTTTGGACGAAGAGTCCCGGGCTCGGTTTCCGCTAGAGGCAAGTACCAAAAAAAAAAAAAAAAAAATGAAAGGCAGAATTCCTGGAAAACATATAGATAAGTTTTAGCTCAGAGAAAAAAAGTTATTTTATAAGCCCTGAGGTTATATATATTTCTATGTTCTAACTATGAGCAAAACACAAGTTTTTCCAAGCCACTCTTCAACACAAAATACTTCTGGCATTATTTTATCTAAGCCAAATAAAATACAAAAGTTTTATTTTAGTAAATTTATTAAAAAAAAAAAAAAAGCCTACTACTTTTCTTTAATCTTATTGAAGTTAATGAGAGAGAAATTCTATAAAGAATATAGAAAAGCAAGAATATTTCTATTTCTGAAAAAAGCAGGAAAGGGAGGAAAGAAAAGAGGAAGCCTCCCCAGAGTTCACCTCTTGGTGCATCATGGATGCTAATAAGCAGAAAAGACACATTGCTGCATTTTCTCTGTCTCCAGTCTTTTTTCCCAGGCATTCAATTCTGTCTCTGAAACACCTTCCACTGTCCTCGTATCTTCTCAGTCCTCAGCCTGACCATATTCTTGAGGAGTCCCACAAGCAGGGTCACCTCAGCACATATCACCAGCCTGAATCTTTCTCAAAATACAAAGAAACAGATTTGCAATAACGGCTGAGAAAGAAGCATATGTATGAGCCATGATATTGTGCATTGGTAGCATGGTATAAACAAACAAACAAACAAAAGAAATCATGTCAAAGGGAGAAATAAAATTATGGAAACATTTTAACTAGATAAATGAAGCTGTGAAAGGTTAAAGATGAAAATAAAATATTTTTAAAAGGCAACTGAGTAAAAAAATTTGAAATGTTTGCTCCTATTATTAATTTTAGAAATAAAAAATCAAAAGACAAGTTTTTACCCATCAAAATCACAAAGATATTTTTTTTTTTATCCTCACCCGAGGACATTTTTCCATTTTTCATTCAGGTAGAGTGGGAGGGAGAGAGAGGAACAGAGAGAGAGAGAGAGAAACATCGATGTGAAAGGAACACATCGAGTGGCTGCCACCCGCACGACCGACCAGGGCCGGGGACAAACTGCAACCGAGGTATGTGCCCTTAGCGGGAACCGAACCCGGGTCTCTCTAGACTGCAGGTCAATGCTCTAACCGCTGAGCCAAACCGGCCAGGGCACAAAGATTTGTTTTTAATAACACCTAATAGAAGTGGGAAGTAAAGTACAATGAGAGAGAGTCCTCACTTTGTATAATTTACATCAACACAGCTCTTCTGGAAACTAATTGAGCAATATGTTATAAGTAATATAATAAAGACATTAAAAAAAAGAGTCTAAATGTTCTTACTCTTTGATGCAATAATTCTACTCACAGGACTTTGTACAAATAATAAAAATGCGAACACAGAATCCTTATTTCAGAACGAATATAATGAAGGGATAAAATATATTACTCTACCTGCCTTGCTCAGTTTTGTTTTTTTAAAAAAGCAAGGAGAAAGGGCCTAAGAAAAGCAAAGCCACCTTGGCCTGCCAATCAAACAGGCCATACTGACTCCATTAACCAGCTCTGCCCCTCAAAACTTCCTTCTGGCACAACCAAGATTTACTGCAGTATAATCCTACACAAAGGAAAAGAACACATTGACATATTTAAGAGAGTTTTCAAATGACTTGAATAAAAAGGGTCGTCCTAGGATGGAAAAGAAAATAATCTCCCAGATTAACTATAAAATAACATTTCCCAAACAATTTATTTCATCAATAAATCCAAATACCTCTGCATATAATTTCATTAGGCAGTAAGAAATTATGCCATTACAATACAGAAATCATCAACCTAGATGAAACTTTGTTAAAGACACATGTATCAACTTTAAGTAGTATGATAAAATTTATTACATTTTAAGAGCAGTTATATTAAACAAAAAGCTAAAAAACATGTCAAACTCCCTATGCCACTTTAGAAAAAAATTAAATATAAAAGGTTTATTTCTTAGGAAAGCAGTTTAAAAGCTATGTCAAACAGAAACTAAGTCTCTTTGTAAAAAATATCAAAGGAATCAAAACATGGACTCATAGGCAATAAGTAAGATTTGTGTCTGTTCCCATACATACAGAAGCAATACATACAGAAGCGATTTGAGTTCTAAGCCATAAGAATGAGAATACTGAATCAACAATTTCAAGTTTTAGTCATGGTTGTTAATATTTTTTTACCTGTACATTTAAACATTTAACATTAATTCTCAATCTTATAATATTAACAGCAAATCAGGCCTCTTGCTTTATTTCTTGTCCAGAAAAAATGGATTTGTCTATTTAACACTTACCTAAACTTGTGGGCTTGATGAGAACATCAAGAACATCATAAAAGGGCAAGTTTTTTAACTGCACATCAGGATGGACAGGAGGAATTGGGGGAGATGGCTGCTGCATCTCAAACGTGGGCTTAGTATCTTGAAGCAACACAGAACCAACAGGGGAGGACGGTGAGTGAGGTGTAACTGAAGTAGAAGGCAACGTGTGGATTCCAGCCACAGCCAAGTCAGGTTCTACAGGTGATGAGCTACCATCCAAATTGAAAACCGAGGATTTGATTGTGGATAAATCAGAAAGTCCTTCAAGAGTCCGTGGGTATCGGCGTCTATACAATTCTCGGATTTTAATCTGAACCGCAGGGCTGCAGCCGCTCTTCAATAAATGCAACGCCCTCATCAGGAGGTCATGTTTGCGTCCACTTTTATTTCGTCCAGCAAAACCTAGTAACACTTGTAGTTCAGAAACCCTAAAACTAGAAACCATATTCTAAAAGGAAAGAAAAAAAAAAAAAGATATAAGCCAATAGGTACCCCACAAGCATATAAAAACCCTATTTAAAATACACTACAAAATCGTATTTTCCAGCATTCTATCAATTGGCACGTGCTAGTAAACCAATATTTCCACATAACAGTTAGAACTGTTCCTGTTTATGCTACCAGCCCCACCCCTACCAAATTATATTCAAGGTGTGGTGTTATGTTTTGTGGTACTCTTAATTTTGTTATTCTACTAATTGCTATTAACCACTTCATTATCTGCTTATGTTCAAGTGAAAACTTGTATTTGTTTAGAACTATGAAACTTATAACCAATGAAAATATCCCCTTTTAAAACTAAGTCCTACTAATACATAATATATTTGTTACAGCATTATCAATTGACCAATTAGATTTTTACAATTCTATATGCATAATTTCTGATGCTAAGTAGTAAATCTATAAAATCAAGACTGATTTGTGGCCAATGCATTATTAACCCCAACTCAAATATTAAAAAACAGTTTAAGAAAATAATATTTTTTAACATTAAAACTAAAAATCTATATATCTTATATAACAGAACAACTGAATTTTCCAGCTGAATATCCAATAAGGAAAAGACCTTTGAAGAGCAAGGAAATGAGTGGTCACAAATCTCAAAGGACAAGATTCCCTCAAAGTCATTCTCTATTGACTTGTTCTTGGGTATAAAATGAAGGTAACAGGCAGTTTCTGCTTCAGATCTTACCATCTATTTATTCAACAAAACCTAATATATACTTTGAGCTACTCGCTGTCTCATAAATCCATATACTTGGTGATTTTTAGTCAATTCTGAACTCAGGAGTAACCCATATGTGGGTCACATTTACTTGTACACATATGCACCATCCAGCCAGAAAGAACAGTAAGACCTGGAGCTGATCAAATACCCTTTCAGAGACTGACCCTAAAAAAACTTCCCCCACCTCTCCTCCTCAGTGCTGCACTCCACAGCTACCTGAGACTCCTCCTCAACCTGGTAGGTATGCAGGAGCAATACCTACAGCTGGCACTGATTCATAATACATAATCCCTCTGTTCTGTACTTTTAAGTCTCACTGATAGCCCAGAAGCAACTGTTTAAAACTCTTCTTGGCTTGCCCTGGCCAGTATGGCTCAGCGGTTAGAGCGTCTGCCTACGGACCAGAGAGTCCGGGTTTGGTTCCCACTAAGGGCATGTACTGCGGTTGCGGTTCGTCCCTGGCCCAGGCTGGGGTCATGTGGGTGGCAACTAATCGATGTGTCTCTCTCACATGGATGTTTCTCTCTCTCACTCTCTCTCTCTCTCTCTCTTCCCTGGTCTCTCCCTCTGACTCTATCTGAAGATAAATGCAAAAACGTCCTCAGGTGAGGATTAAAAAACAACAACTCTTCTTGGCATTTAAATAATTGTCAGGAATGAAACTTGCTAGTTTTCTGAACTGCAAACAAATTTAAATATATTAAATACAGCTGCATATAAAAGCTGTAGCATAATTCTACTTCATATATGACACATCTCCATATTTCATATTGTACAGGTAAGAGAATTATTAAATTGTAATCCTAGCAACCACCTTTTACACTCTTTTTTTTAAAAGTATGTTTTTATTGATTTTTTTTAGAGAGAAAGGAAGGGAGAGAAAGATAGAAACATCGATGTGAGAGAGAAACATCGATTGGCTGCTTCCTGCATGTCCCCTACTGGGGATCGAGCCTGAACTTGGGCATGTGCCCTGAACAGGAATCAAACAAGGACCTCTCAATCCATGAGATGATTGTCAATCCACTGAGCCACACCAGTCGGGCATTTTTTACATGCTGGATTAGCACTGTTCAATTGAGGTAGGACCCACATACATAATTCTAAATCTTCTAGTAGTCACATTAAAATAACACAAATTAACTTTGCAAATATGCTTTATTTAACCCAATATATCAAAAGTATTATTTCAACATGTAACTAATTTTTGTGGTTTAAAAGTAATAATTTCTAAAAGTGTCAATGAGCCCTGGCCGGTTTCACTCAGTGCTTAGAACGTCGGCCCGGGGACCAGTAAGTCGTGGGTTCGATTCCTAGATCAAGGGTGCGTCCCTGGTCCTGGTTGGGGCCGTGCAGGAGGCAACCAGTCAATGTGTCCCTCTCACATTGATGATTCTCGCTCTCTCCCTCCCACCCACTCTATCAGAAGATAGCGATTTACAAAAAAAAAACAGAAAGAAAGAAGAGTGTCAATGAGATTTTTCCATACTTTCTTCAATATCCAGTGTGTATTTTACACTAAGTGCACATCTCAATTTGGACTGACCACATTTCAAGTGCTTAAGAGCCACATGTGGCTAGCAACTACCATTCTGGACAGTGTAGCTCTAAATAACTCACATAGCAACATGTATCATAATGCCATGGTCATTATACTTTAATGCACTTCACTTCTTCCATGTGTTATTTTATTTATCTTACCACTCTTTATGGACAACAAAGATAAAAAAATAGAAAACAAGAAAATTGTTGACCTATCTCATGACACACCTGTTACAGTTTATTCAAGGTTTCATACATAAAGAGGATGACTATGATAGCTTTCAGGAAGTGTCTTCCCAAGCAAGAAATGCAATACATCTTCCCAAAAGTTCCCAATCCTAATAAATTCAATTGAAGTTTGTTCGTATTTCAGTATAAGCAACATTAAATCAAAATCAGTCATGCAGAAACAAGATATGTGATTTTTTTCTAAAGAAATCAAACTAACTTGAATTCACTACTTTGTTTCCCTCCTTCCAGTTGTTTTCAGATATTCTTCGTTTTAAGAAAACCTGTTTTAGCCCTGGCCAGTTTGGCTCAGCAGTTAGAGCGTCAGCCTGCTGTCCAGAGAGACCCAGGTTCGGTTCCCGCTAAGGGCATGTACCTCGGTTGCAGTTTGTACCTGGCCCTCATTGGGTTGTGCGGGTAGCAACCACTAGATGTGTCCCTTTCACGTTGATGTTTTATCTCTCTCTCTCCCTCCCACTCTATCTGAACAAAAAATGAAAAAATGTCCTCGGGTGAGGATAAAAAAAAAAAAAGAAAGAAAGAAAACCTGTTTTACAGAAATGACAGAAGAGAACACAAAGTCACTCTAAGTTTGGCCCTCAAAAAGGAATCTCTGGGAGGTCTCAGTTCATTTATTTCCAAGGATAACTTTACCTGGTAAAGAATGCTAATGAAAATGGCTCTATTAGCTACTGTAAATATAAAAACAAAAGGGAAGAAAGAGATAAGGGCTTAGAACTATAAATGTGGTATCATAAGATTCTGTCACCAAAAAGAAATTCCCTAGTTTTGGGAAGGGCAAAGGAACAACAGCAGACTGAATAGGGCAGTGCAAAATGCTGCAAAGATAAAGAACTGCCAGGCACTCCCAAAGATGCTAGTTTTAAGAGTCAGTGGTGTCCTGTGGAAAACTTCACAGCAGCAATCAGTAGTTGTATGTAGATAAAGTCACTTCATTCCTCCAGCTATCAATTTCTATTTAAAAACAAGTAACAACAATAAAAACTGTCCTTTATTTGGCGTTTACTATTAAGATAGCCCCTAAGGAGCTTACTAAGTCAAATTATATGAATGTTTTTCTTGGCAAACATTGCTGGAGCCCATTTCTTCCTAAAGTGATGCTTATTTTAATTTCTTGACTCAGTCTTCAACCAGGTTTTATCTATTACCAGGTAAGGTGAGGCTGCTAGGAATAACTAGCAAGAATAAATTTCAGCTCGTTTTTCATTAACCTCTGATGTCTACCTTTTTTAAAATATGTTTTTATTGATTTGAGAAAGAGAGGAAGGGAGAGAGAAACATTGATTGACTGCCTCCTGCACGTCCCCTACTAGGGATAGAGCTTGAAACTTGGGCATGTGCCCTGACCAGGAACTGAACCGGTGACCTCTTGGTGCATGGGACAACACTATAATCCACTGAGCTACATCAACCGGGCTGATGTTTATACCTTTAGTATAATTTTTAAGTGAATTTTATCCAGTCTATAGTGCTGCCTCCCAAAATCTGCCCTCTAATACTTCAGTTACAATTTCTATATTTTCTACACAGAGGAATAGCTCAATAAATACTTGTCAACTGACTTTAAGGAAATTCTATAAACTACAAATATGTTAGTATCTTATATTTTTTAAAAGATACATAATCTGGATTTCTAAAGAAGAGCTAATATAAATTATGACTAGGACTTTAAACCAACCTTATTTCTTTATGAAATTTAAATAACATAAAATTATTAAAATTTTTTTAAAGCTGGCCAATTTTCCCAACACCATTCATTAAAGAAGTTGTCCTTACTCCATTGTATGCTCTTGCCACTTTTGTCAATATTAATTGAGCATAATGTCTTTGGTCAACTTCCAGGTTCTCTGTTCTGCTCCATTGATCTATATGCCTGTTCTTGTGCCAGTACCAGGCTGTTTTGATTACAATGGCTTTGTAGTATAACCTGATATCCAGTATTGTGATCCCTCCTACTTTGTTCTTCTTTTTCAAGATTGTTGTGGCTATTCAGGGTGGGGTTTTTTAGTTGTTGTTCCATATAAACTTTTAAAGTTTTTATTCTAGTTCTGTGAAATATGCTACATG